GCATATCATATTTTGGTGATAATATATTTATCACAGTACATTTGTGTGCGCACATCTGTATAACTACGTTCGACTGTATGTACATGTACATGCACATGCATACACGTACATAGGAACGTATGTATATACACACATATAGTTAATATCCACTGCCCCCAGCTGGGTCCTTCTTGGTCCCAGGCGCTGCGTATACGCCGTCCTGGCCAAGCAGGGGGGCGTGGCGTATACACCGCTGCTGGTGTCGGCATGGGCGCGGCCAGGGAGCAGTGGATGTGCAAAGGTCTCGTCGCTCTGTATGTATGCCTGTGTTCACCCATGTGGGGCGTTCCAGAACTGGCCTCGCCTTCGGCGCGTCTCGCTCTCGTGCAGCCGCGCCGCCCCCCCTCCCCCCCTTCCAGAGAGGAGGAGGAGGGGGAGGAGGAGGAAGGGGAGGAGGAGGAGGAGGAGGAGGAGGAGGAGGAGGATGAGGAGGAGGAGGAGGAGGAGGAGGAGGAGGAGGAGGACGAGGAGGAGGAGGAGGAGGACGAGGAGGAGCGGCAGCAGGCGTCAGCATTTGCGGGCCGGTGTTTCTGGAGTAGGGCAGGTAGCGGCCAGGCTGCGGCCAGGTAGCGGCCAGTTGCCGCAGCCATGTGTACGCGTGCGATTGGAGATCAGCTCTGGGCGGCCCGATCCGTGACTGTTCCGTCGGCTTGTCTGCCAAGCGGGGCGCCGCGCGGGCGTCGCAGGCTGTCTTGAAGGATGTCGCCGAGTGCCTTGCGTGATCGGGCCCTTGGGTCACGTATTGCAGCCCAAAGGTATTGCAGTCCAGTGTAGCGACCTATTTTCGGCCCTGACGTCAGCAGTGCCCGCAAGAGCGCGCCAACGTGCATGCTCTCGCGTACAGCCTGATATGCTAACTCGTGTCAACGGTATACAAAGCTTGTGCAAGGGTTCATCTTCTGCGTGGTATGGTATCGCCGACGATATCGATGCAGCGCAGTGCCGCTGGCATCGCACATGTACTGATCTACCGTCCATCGCACGTGCGAGTTTCCCGAAACAGCATTCGCATGACAGCCGCCGCGTGCTGTTCGTGCCGCACTAGGGATGACCAGAGAGAGTCGCTGTATACGAACAGCTTTGCATGCTCGACGATGTTGATCTCCGACCGGAAACTACGTTTGCGTGTAGTGGGTCTCCCAAGTAATGGGTCAACCTGCCCAATCTTTGATCCGCCGAGTGGGTAACATGCCCTACTTTCTCGAACGGGTCGAGGTGATCAGCGCACCTTCCTGTATACTACCTCCGACCGCACCGCGGACATTGTTGGGGATGCTGCTGCAAGAAATGAGTGGCAGCAGAGATTCGCATGAGGAGGAGTTTCGATATCCTCCTCCTCCACGATGCAGCGCCTGGGCCTGCCACTGATCGGATGGAGCGTCCCAAGCGAAGCTGTGCGTCAGATCGGCTCGAAGGGCCCGCCCGGTAATTGCGCACACGCGACTCAAGCTGGGTGAGCGAAGCTGCTGCTGCTGATGATGATGATGATGATGATGATGATGATGATGATGATGGTGATGCTGATGATGATGATGATGATGATGATGATGATGATGATGATGATGATGATGATGATATGATGATGATGATGATGATGATGATGATGATGATGATGATGATGATGATGATGATGATGATGATGATGATGCTGCTGCTGATGATGATGATGATGATGATGGTGATGGTGATGATGATGATGATGATGATGATGATGATGATGATGATGATGATGATGATGATGATGATGATGATGATGATGATGATGATGATGATGATGATGACGTTGCTGCTGCTGCTGCTGCTGCTGATGATGATGATGATGATGATGATGATGATGATGATGATGATGATGATGATGATGATGATGATGATGATGATGATGATGATGATGATGATGATGATGATGACGACGCCCTGTACCTGTGCTGTGTTGCCGCCTGGCACGGCCAGAACTGCCGGAGGCGGAACGCCTCTGTGAGCGTGGCATCCGCGCGCACATGCCGGAGCAGCCGACGAGAGAAGGCGTGCAGACGGCGCCCTTGGCCGCAGAGAGGCGCACAGCTGCCGCGGGCGGCCTGCGGCCGCCACGCCGCCGAGCGCGCGGAGGGCCTACAGCGGGCGCAGAGAATGAAATAATACGCGTGCCCAGACGTGCTCGCGTCGTAAAAGATTCAGGACGGGAGGTTTTTTGACCATTTTCGGCCCCGGGGGGCCCTCGCTGGGCCTCGGGGCCGGCAAGAAGCCGACTCAGGACGAGAGCCCAGTCCCGGGGAAAGGGTCGGGGCTGCTGGCGGCCCCGTCCCGAAGAAATCAGGACGTCGCATGTCTTGGTAGCTTAGTGCTCATCTGCATTGGCAGTCTTTCCCGCAGCCCGAGGTGTGCCAGCTCTACACGGGGTACCTCCAGCGGCACTGACGGCAGACGAGCGCAGCAGAGTATACTCAAAACATACGTCGGTGACTTGCCCTGAGCAAGAGAAGACGGAGGCTGCTGCTGATGATGAGGATGCTGATGAGGATGCTGCTGCTGCAGATGAAGATGGTGATTATGCTAATGATGATGATGATGATGTTGTTGATGATGCTGCTGATGCTGATGATGATGATGATGATGATGACGATGCTGATGATGATGATGATGATGATGGTGATTATGACGATGGTGGTGGTGATGATGACGATGATGATGATGTTGATGCTGCCGCTGCTGCTGATGATGATGGTGCTGTGGATGAGGACGAGGGCGAGGATGAGGATGGGGAGAGGATGATGGTGAGGATGAGGACGATGAGGATGAGGATGAGGAGGATGAGGAGAATGAGGATTATGATGATGCTGCTGATGATGATGATGCTATTGATGATGCTGACGATGACGACGACGATGACGATGATGATTTGGATGATGATGATGATGATGATGATGATGATGATGATGGTGATGATGGTGATGGTGACGATGATGGTGGTGGTGGTGATAAGGATTACGATTATGATGATGCTGATGGTGATGCTGCTGCTGATGATGATGCTGATGCTGCTGCTGATGATGATGCTGATGCTGATGATGATGTTGATGCTGCTGCTGATGATGATGATGCTACTGATGATGTTGATGATGATGCTGATGATGCTGCTGATTATGATGATGATGCTGATGATGATGATGATGATGCTGACGATGTATGATGATGATTGATGATGATGATGATGATGATGATGATGATGATGATGATGATGATGATGATGATGATGATGATGATGATGATGATGATGATGATGATGATGATGATGATGATGATGATGATGATGATGATGATGATGATGATGATGATGATGATGATAATGATGATGATCGGGAGGAGGAGGAGGAGGATGAGGAGGAGGAGGAGGAGGAGGAGCTCGAGGAGGAGGAGGAGGAAGATGAGGAGGATGAGGAGGAGGACATCGGAGCTAGGGCTTTACGGGATTCTGGGGGTGTTCATGGGTTCCTCCTTTTCCCTCCTGCTCGCGCCTCGGTGCTTCGTCCCTCATCCTTCCCCTGTCAGCTTACCTCCTTCTCCTTCCATCCTCGGCCCCTCTCCCTCCTCCCCTGCCTCCTCCTGCTCTTCCCTCCTCCCTCTGGCGGCCGTTCGGGACGACCCCCTGGAACGCTCTCGGCGAGGCGAATCTGCTGGAGAGCACTCCGAGTTTGGAAGACCCTCGGGAACTCACCAAAGCGCCCGAATGCCTCGAACCTCTACGGTTGGGGCGTCGGTTGAGGAGTGTGCCCAGTAGGCTCGAGACCCCCGAGGATTCCTTATCCGATGCGGGCGGTGGTGAGATCCATGGCAGATCCATGGTTGGAGTTCCACTGGCGTCCAGCCCCTGGGTTGCTCATCTCAGGGCTCCGTGCCCACTGCCCCCGCCGTCCGAATCTGTGCACGCGCGAGCCCCGAGCCCCCGAGGTGAGAACTGCCCCCGCCGTGGGTCCGAAGCCGCCGGGCCCCCCGGCCAGGCGATAGCGCGCGAGTGGCACGGCGCCCGCGACCTGCCCGCCACCCTGGCGGCGGCGGCGGCGAGCCGCCTGCCGCTGCGGGAGCTGCTGTCCGACGGCGGCCAGGACGCCCTCCCCCCCCCCGCGGCCCGCGCGGACGCCGCCGTCGCCGGCCCTCGAGGCCCCCGGCAACGCCGGGAGTAGATGCAGAGTCGTGGAGGACGATCAATGGAGAGGAAGCATGTTGCCGAATAATATCCAGATGTCTAGAACATGTGTTAGAGCTGTTTTTAACATGTACGATCAATGGAGAGGAAGCATGTTGCCGAATCATTTCCAGATGTCTAGTCTAGAACATGTGTTAGAACTGTTTCTAACATGTACAACACATTGTTCTTGTTAAACTGATATTTCCAGGACAGTCTCCTACATCTTCAACACATTTTTAATTCGGTGATAGGACTGTTCGGGTGTCCATTGTCGTGGCATCCACACATGCAGAGGCCCGTGCCAAGAAACACCCTGCTTGTCACCAGGGTGCCCTGGGTTTCCTGGGTTTCGATGCTTTTGCGGTGGCAAGCGCGAGGTTCCCAGACCCCGGACGTCATGGTTTTTGCTTCATGACGTCCACCCCCGGAGGTCTCGACTCATTCCCCAAGACCGATTTTTCATCCAGCGTCGTTTTTTGACGGTCCCGAGGGCCGGTACGGGCCAGGAGAGGCCGAACACATGGAAAAACCTCCCGTCGTGGTTCTTTATTGCCCGAGGGCTTCTGGGTTCCCACACCCGAAATCAATGGGCGTCCTGGGGTCTCAGGGTTGGGTTTCTTGCGGAAGGTTTCTTGTGGTCGGGCCCCTGCTGTATGTATGTGTAGAGGCCATGGTCTCGTCCGCCCTGCCTTCCCCAAGATCCGGGCTTGGCACTCTCCTGCTCCTTTTCCTCCTCCTCCTCCTCCTCCACCTCCTCCTCCTTCCGTAGCCATTTTGGCTCAAGTGGGATACCTCCCCACTTGGGCCGAAATGGATTCCATAGCAATCTATCCCGAGGGCATCCGCCCCCAGCGTTTTGCCTGGCTCTTCCATAACCACTCGCGCCGCGCAGGCCCTGATGCGCTCGGATGCTGCGCGCTCAGGTGATCCCGTTGCTGCTGTTCGTGACCTGCGGCGGCTTCGTCATGCCCCACACGCGGTCGCCAGCCGCTCTTCATATCCGTCGTTGTCGTGCCTCTCAACGCGGCCTGCGTCGCTGTCGGGATGGTGAACTCGTCCATCTTCAGCTCGCTCTTCTTCTTCGCGATGATCGACGGGCACTACCAAGCCCCCCTAGGCAGCTCATCCCCCTTGGCGTGTGCACGAGCGACGAGCTGTCGCAGGTTGCACGCTACATCCAGGTACTCCGCGAGCGAGCTGCGCCAGTTCTGCATCCTGCTGACGGCGAAGGCGCTGGTGCCGACCATCACGTTCCACGGGCTGGCGCGGGACCCCTTCCACCACCTGCTCATGATGCGCCGCTTCGCCGAGGTGCTGGAGTTGTACCTGCACCCGCTCTGCTACATGGCGCTGGGCCCCTTCCTCGGCTCGTCGCTGGCTCTCCTGATCTCGTCCTGCATGCTGCTGCCGCCGGTGGCTCCCGCCTGCGTGATGCTGGTGATGAGCCTGGCGATGGCCCACGTCCTCAACTCGCTCTGCTACTTGCCGCTGGGCCACTTCCTCGGCTCGTCGCTGGCGCTCCTGTACTTGATGTGCATGCCGCTGCCGCTGGTGGTGGCCGTCATCGTGATGAACTTGTCCTGCATGCCGCTGCCGCTGGTGGCGCCCGTCGTCTTGATGCTGGTGATGCTCTCGCTGCTCTCCGTCCCCTTGTCCGCGAATGGCACCGTGTCTTTCGGCGACTGACACTACTCCAGAACAGGCCCTTCTTCCGCTGCTTCGACGCGTGGCACGACTTCGTGTTCGACACCTCCTTGTCCTCGGATAGCGACCAGCCCAACGAGGACTCTTTGGAACTCGGAGTTGCTGCCGCTGGTGGCGAACAAGTGCATGACGTCGCTGCTGCGGGTGGCGATCCTCCTGCTGCCCGCTGTGTAGTGTGGAACCTGCCTGGAGCACACCTGCATGACAATCCTCAAGAACACTCGCATGAAGTACACCTGCATGCCGTTCACCTGCACGGGGTACATCTGCATGAAGACGCTCGCCGCGATCCTCCCGAAGACGATCGACATGACTGGGCGGTCCCTGGCGTTGAGTACCTTCGCCGATCCGCCCTTCTTCAACTCCGCTGCTGCTGCACGGCTCATGCTGATCTGGCAGATCGTCTGGTGGATCCCGAAGAAGGCCTGCGTGTTGCTGCTCGTGCCGTCCCGCCGCCTGGAGTGCCTTACGCTGTACCCCACAAGCAAGCTCTTCCTGCCGCTGCCGCTGGTGGCGAACGACCCCGCCAGGCCGACCTCTCCACGCCCCCCGTCGATGTGATTGCGACGACGCTGAGTAAGCTGGAGGAGGCCGCCCGTGTCTGTCCCGAAGAAGCCCTGCATGATCCTGTTCGTGCCGTCCCGCCGCCTGGAGTGGCCGACGCTGCCCCCCACGAACATGCTCTTCCTGCCGCTGCTGCTGGTGGCGAAGGACCCCGCCAGCCCGTCCTCTCCATGCCCCCCGTCGACGTGACCGCGACGACGATGAGTAGGCTTGAGGAGCCCGCCTGTGAATGTAGCCCCGCTGTCGCGGCCAGCCGAGTGCCCCCCGACAGGTCCTCTACTTCCCGCTCTTCCCATTCGCCTTTGCCCCCCGTCCCTGCTTTCCCCACTTTCCCGAGCATCCCGCACGACCTACAATCCGCTCCCCGTGTATGGCCCCATGCTCACTGCAGCATTGGTGATGCCAGAGCGGCCGAGCGCCCATCCCCAAGTACAGGCCAACCACCGTCCTAGCCGATCTGCGCTGTGCTAGACGGACGAGTTCGCCTCATGGTACTTTCACTCCACCTCCTCCTCCTTCCCCTCCTCCTCCTCCGCCTCCTTCTCCCCCTCCCCATCCTCCTCCCTCCTCTCTCCTCCTCCTCCTGCTCCTCCTCCTCCTCCTCCTCCTCCTCCTCCTCCTGCTCCCCTCCTCCCCTCCTCCCCCTCTCTCCTCCTCTCCTCCTCCTCTCCTCCCTCCTCCTCTCCTCCTCCTCCTCCTCCTCCTCCTCCTCTCCTCCTTCCTCCTCCTCCTCCTCCTCCCCTCCTCTCATCCTCCTCCTCCTCCTCCCTCCTGCGCACGCCGGGCGAGCTGCCCGGATGGGGCCCCGGGGGCCCTCGCAGATCGATGCGGCTGGAAGAGTGCTACACAGGAGGAGGAGGAGGAGGAGGAGGAGGAGGAGGAGGAGGAGGAGGAGGAGGAGGATAAGGAAGAGAAGAGGGAGGAGGAGGAGGAGGGGGAGGAAAGGAAGGAGGAGGAGGAGGAGGAGGAGGAAGAAGAAAAGGAGGGGGAGGAGGACGAGGAGGAGGAGGAGGTGGAGGAGGAGGAGAAGGAGGAGGAGGAGATCAACAGCAGCAGCATCAACAGTTGCTGGCACGTCATTTCGATTTCGGCGCGCCCCTCGATGTCGACAAGCCGCCCCTTCAAAATGTCGGGGCGAGGGCAAAGATAGTCTGACCGAAGTCGACTCGAAAGCTTGACGTCGACCGGAAATTGGAGGGGCGGCGCATGCAAGCACCCCGCACTCATCGATTCGATACTCGGCCCCAGATCTTCCGACAAGCGGTTCAACCACGTCAGACCTTTTTGAGGTTAATTTTGACGAGGGTTGTAGGGTCTGGGGCTCGGCTTAGGTCATGGTTTTCGCGATGTTGTTGTTTGGGGGCAACACCCGATCTCAGAGTTCACATATGTCCTCGTAAGGGCTTCGCCCTCTGCCGCCGGCCCCCTCTCAGTTACGATGGGAGGTGCCAAAGCGATGCTGGGGCGTGTCGGCGCTGTTTCTAACCTCCTGGGGAAAGCATGCGAGGACGAGTGGCATTCAGCAAGCACCTTCCCGCCAAGCCTTCCAGTCAGGAACTTTGGCTTGGCGTGTCGCTCCGCCAGTTTTGGCCAACCACGCTTCGGCCCGACACCCTATCCACGTCCCGTTCCCCAAACGTCAAGATCCCGAGTTTTTCGTAGCCTCCCGCCCCGCAGAGCGGAGCGACACGCTATCCAGTCGCACGGCATAGCTTGTCGCCAGGGCCGCCGTCGCGACACGCTAAGCAACATGTCCCGCCCGTATTTGAGGCCGTGGCCTCGCCCGCTTATCCTGAGATAGGCCTGGAGGGTGCTCCGCAGTGGCGGCTTGCTCGCTAGCTCGCTCGCTCGGCCCCCCTTCGTGGTGACTCCTTTGGCACTGCCTGGAAGCTGGAGGGCAGCTTCCCCCCGTGCTCGTCGCCGAGTGGATGTGCCCCGTGGTTTAAGTCGGGCATGTCCCTCTACAGGAGGAGTACTCAAAAATAGTCAAAATATAACCAGGGGACGATTTTTTAGTTTTTTGTTTGACTACGTATGCATATCTTTGAATCCTTTTTATTTGTCGTCCAAAATCCGCCCGTAGGGGGACATGCCCGACCTAACCCTTGGCCCTCCGTCAAAGCGTAATGCTTGGGGGCGTTCCCGCTGGTTTCCCCAGAGGTGCCCCCCGCCCCCCCCTCGAGGCTTCCAGCAGGTGCGCCTCGCCGAGAGAGCGCTCCCCCGGAGATCTCCGAAGCTCTCCGAGCGGCCGCCGGAGGTCTCCGAGCTGCTGCCCGAGGGCAGGGCCCCCCCGCGCAGCGGAGCGGCACCCGGGCGGCGGGCGGCCCCACGGCGGAGGCCCATGCCAAGAGACATCCTGCTCCTCCTCCTCCTCCTCCTCCTCCTCCTCCTCCTCCTCCTCCTCTACCTCCTCCTCCTCCTCCTCCTCCTCCTCCTCCTCCTCCTCCTCCTCCTCCTCCTCCTCCTCCTCCGCCAGGAAACCCTGGCGGCAGACGGCTCCAAGAGACATCCTGCCAAGAGACATCCTGCCTGCCTCCAGGGTGCCGAGGGCATCCTGGGTTTCGATGGTCTTGCTGTGGAAGGCGCGACGTTCCCGCGCCAAAGACCAGTGGGCGTCCTGGGGTCTCAGGGTCGGGTTTTCTCGCGGACGGGTTCTCGTGGTCGGGCCCCCCCTGCGACAGCATCAGGACAGAGTTAAGTCGGGCGTGTCCCTCCACAGGGGGAATATTCAAAAATAGTTAAAAATAGTATGGGGACGGTTTTTGGTTTTACCATTCTTGATTTTTTTTGGGGGGGGTGGGGTGGGGGGTGGATATCTTTCATTTTTCCTCCCAAATACGCCTGTAGGGGGACACGCCCGACCTAAGTACACAGTGAAGGGGGCGTCCTACTTTGCCGTGCGAGCGGGAGGCCCTTCGGGAGAGCGTGCGGCAGGCCAGGCCGCGTGGGAGACCGAGCGGGAGGCCCTGCGAGAGACCACGGGCCACGAGCCACCGCTTCCAGATCGGGATTCGCTCCTGCCCAGGCACCTGTGCCGCGGGGTGCCCTCGTGGCGCCCCAGGAACACATGCGGCTTGGCAGCCCGATCGTCACCGCAGCTCGACGGGGCTGTGGGAGAGACGCTTGCCCTGTGGTTCGCCAGCCACAGTAGGTGCGGGCCCGCCGTACCACCCCTGAGAGGCCCGATGGGGTCGTGCCCAGCCTTGGAACGCACACACACACACACACACACACACACACACACACACACACACACACACACACACGCAACACACACACACACA